ACTTTTTTCTCTCTCTAAAATTGTGCACCGGGAAGAGAAGTCTTGGAAAGCTTATCTTTTTTCCTTACTGATCTTGAAAATAGGCAGATGGTTTATATAAACATCTGAGCACATTACATTTAGTGAATAAACATAATGTATTTGGGAGTGAAATGGTAAATACATGTCTTTTTTTCCTAAGACTTAAACTATACCTACATGATGGCAGATAGTTATTTCCAGAAAGAAATTTGCAAAGTGTATTCTTGAAACTAGTGTCAATGTTCTCAAGCTAAGTACCTTTTAGTAACTGTAGAAATGATCCCTGAATGTATAGTCTTGATAAGTACCTTTTAAATAAACTAGTTTTATGAGCTATTTGTAGAAAAGTAAAGTGACATTAGGAATCCAAGTGTTGTCCCTTCCTGTCAATATCAACATGATCTTTATTATTTTTTCTAATTTAAAAATTATTGTTGAATAGAACTAAATGCATACTGTAAAACTTTTAAACAGGACAAAGGGTAAATGATGAAGTTATGTCTTTTTTCACTTTGCTTGTCCAGTTTGCCTTTTCATAGATGACTACTTCCAAAAATATCCCCAGGATTAAATGACAAAATTTTGTTATACTATGCAAATGTCCTTTTATTAACAACTCAGAAAGTATAGAATACCTAATTCTTTCTAACAGCTGAATAGTTTTCCACAGGTGCATATATCATAATTTAATTATCTCTTCATTAAAGAATATATAGAGTTTTTTCCCTTCATTTACTACCACAAATAATAAGGCAAATTTCCTTGAATTTTGTCTTACATGTACAGAAGTAAATCTGAAGGGCAGATTTCTAAAGTGGAATTGTCAAGCAAAGAGGTATGGTCATAAAGAGGATGAAAAGATAAGCAACTGACTAAAAAAATTATAAAGCATATGAAAAAGAACTTGTATTCAAAATATACAAAGAACTCTTAAAATCCAACAAGAAAACAGACAACACAATTAAAAATGCATAAAATACCTTAATATACACCTTAACAAAGAAGATATATAGATAGTAAATAAGCATATGAAAAGATACTCAGCATCACATGTCAATAAGGAAATGCAAATTAAAACATGATACCACTATACACCTATAGAATGGCTAACATCCAAAATGCTAACATCACCAAATTCTGGCAAAGATGTGGAGTGACAAGAACTCTCATTTATTGCTGTTAGAAATGCAAAATCGTACAGCCTCTTTGTAAGACAATTTGGCAGTATTTTACAAAGCTAAACATAGCCTTTCCATATGATCTAGCAATTGCACTCTTAGGTATTTATCCAAATGAGATGAAAACTTAGCGTCTACACAAAAACCTGCATACAAATGTTTAAAATGGCTTTATTCATAATTGCCCAAACTTGGAAGCAACTAAGATATTCTTCAATAGGTAAATGGATAAAAAACTGTGGTATGTCAATACAATGGAATATTATTAATCAATAAAAAGAAATAAGATGTCAATCCATAGAAGACTTGTATAAAACTTAAATGTGTATTGTTAAGTTAAAGAAGCAATCTAAAAAGGCTGTATGCTGTATGATTCCAACTATATGAGATTAAGGAAAAAGCAAAACTATAGAAATAGGGGGTAGAAAGTCAAAGGGAGGCGGTAGAGGGTAAAATGTGTGTCAGGGATAAAAGAGAGGAGAGATACATAGGTGATGCAGAGGGTATTCTTAGAGCAGTGAAATTATTTCATAATGGTGGCTACGTGACACTGTGTGTTTGGCAAGACCCATAGAATTGCACAACACAAAGAGTAAGTACTAATGTAAACTGTGATGTTCAGTTAATAATAATATTTCAGTATTGGTTTTATTGGCTTAGTTGTAACAAATATACTACATCATTGCCACATATTAACAATAAGAGAAACTGAGCAGAGGGAGGAAGTATGTGAAAACTTCTTGTACATTCTATTCAATATTTCTATAAGTCTGAAATTTATCTAAAAAATAAAGCCTATTTTTAAATGAACATTTTGAGGACAATTGCCAAGTCATTTTATTGTATCTATTTTGACTTTTAATGATATTTTTGTGCTGCAGAATTTTTTTATGGCTTTTGCTGTTTGTGTCCTAAGCTTTCTCTACATGATTCTTTTGAAAAATATTCCATATTTTTTTAAAATTTGCCTATATTTTTATTTTTCTTTCTTTAAAAATCTGTGAGTAATCTGGATTTTTGGTTCAAAGTTAGAACTTATTTATTTCACCATCTTCCTTAAAAGAAATTATAAAATAATAACCATAAGACAAAGAATTTTAGGAGAGATACTGGGGTCTGAATTAGAACACGATATAGTCCATTCTTGTATAATTATTTCAAAATGGATTCTACTGACATGTATAACTAAAAAGAACCAATAAAAAGGAAAAAAGTAAAAGCATTTTAGGTTAAATTGTATAATACTCTTTGAGTCTAAAACCTTCTCTATGCTCTGATGTGTCTTGGGAAATGGATTCTTAAACTTCAGTTCATGAATAAGCTTTGTAAGAGGACCTGAGAGTCCCAAAGGGGTGTGAGTGTGCATGTGTTCACACGCTTGCATGGGTGCACATGCACACAATTACCTGCCATCTAGTCATATTGTGTATCTTTTGTATGGAGTGTTCTGTAACTTTAAATAAATTCTCAGAAGTATTTACAAATCCAAAAGCAATTAAGACATATTAGAATTGGGGAAAACTTTTCCTTAGAATAGATATGCTCTCTTAAAATTCTCTTAAAACTTGATTGTGTTAGGCAGCTTTGTATCACTAAAATAAAATACCGAAGTAATCAAGTTATAAGGAGGACAGATTTATTTTGGCCCACAGAGGTTTCAGTCTGTGGTGACATGGTCCTGTTGCCTTTAGGCCTATGGCAGCACAAGTCCCACTGTGAGGAGTGTGTGGTGGAGGAGGCTGCTCACCTCATAGCAGCTCGGAAGCAAACAGAAAAAGTAAGAGGCTGGAGTCCTAATAGCCCCTTCAAGGGTACACTCCAACTCACCTACTTTCTTCCACTAGGTCTCACCTCTTAAAGATTTCATCACCTTCCAAGGGCACCACAGATTATTAGAGTCCAAGCCTTTAACATATGGGCCTTTGGAGAACTCTTTTCCAAACCATAGCAGTGCTGTTATTGCCTACCAAATGGAATATTTACCTTTAGTGCACCCTATGTACAAGAATATTGAAACTAACTTTAACATCAGAACAAAATGGTTTTATTTCTGTGAATTGGATTCCCCCTTTTTTCCTTCCTTCCCCTCTCTCTCTTCCCCTACCCCCCCAACCCAGGGCTGGGAAATGAACCTGGAGTTTCGCATGCTTAGGCAAATGCTCAACATTGAGTTAGATCTGCAGTGAATTGTCCTCCTTAGATATCATTCACAAGTATGTTCATAAAACCACATTTGGGGAGAAAACACTCATCTACTAGATGACTCTATTGGTCACAACCCTATCAACAAAATAAGCTAAATTTTGAAATTTGCTCTGTCCAGGGAATATGAAGAAACTGATTCTTAAAATTCCTGGTAAATTAGAAAAGAGAAAAGAAAAATTTTATCTTAGCATATAATTTATCATTATGTACTAAGTCTAAACAAAAAAAGAATATTAAATTATTCATATTGAATCAAACTATCATTAATGTAACCTTAATGGAAAAAATGGAAAGATTTCTTTTTGGAGTGTTTATTCATTACATTTTTATAGGTCTATTTTTTCCCCATAGAAAATACTTTCTTAATTATAAAAAAATAAGAGTTAAGGAAATATTTCCATTTTAGGAACTAAGGATTATTTTATGTCTTCTCCAGTGTTTGAGCTTTTCAAATTAATCATTTATATAGTTTTCAAGGGGGTATTTTTTTGAGAAGTTGATGTTGATCTATATATTTTTGTTCTTTGTTTTGAGTTAGCATGATACAAAACACCACCCCTTTTTCTGTTTTATTTTTTTTCAGTACTGAAAATTGAACCTAGAAACACTTTACGCTGTTGCAACACCAGCCCTTTTTAATTTAATTTTTATTTTAGAAAGGGTGTTGCTAAATTGCCAAGGCTGGCATCTAATTTACCATTCTCCTCTCTCAGCCTCTTGGGTATCTGGGATTACAGGTGTGGGCCATCTTGCCTGGCATACCTCCCAGTTTTTAAATGTTATACCTTAGAATTTAACTTATTTTAAAAATATTTTTAGTTCTCTGTGGGCCTTTATTTTTGTTTATTTATTTGTTTGTTTACCCAGCGTTGCTGAGAATTAAATCCAGTGCCTCACATGTGCTAGGCAAGTGCTCTACCACTGAGCTACAACCCCAGCCCCCAAACTTAACTTTTTATTTTAATTTTTTTTAGAATTTAACTTTTTAAGTGAACAACGAAATTAAGTTTATTTTCTACTCTTAACGTATCCTCTATTGTCGACATGAGGTGAATTAGTGACATCTTTTTTTAAGACTTTATATGTATATGTATCAAATAGATGACATATGTATATGTATCAAATATAAATATAACTAGCATATACATTTCTTCAACTCATATATGAAAAAGGGCTCTATCTTGATCCTTTCATTATTATTACTGTGGTATCTTGTTGACTTATTCCCTGTATATTGATATGTTTGTTTAATGTGTATGTATCTGTGATGGATAAAGTTTTTCAACATAATTAATTTTCATTTGAATCTGTTAATTACATCTAGTATTTTTCTTTTTCTTTTTTTTTTTTTTTTTTT